CTGATACCGTTCCTTTATCTATCAATCCCGTAATTTTCTTGCCTTTGCATAATACCACTTCCCCTATCGCAACAATATGTTAAAACCTGACGACGAAACCTCGTAATTCTAAGGGAACACAAATGGTTAATGGTCGAGTGGGTGTATTGACATGCCCTGATATTGCCCACGGGTTGGCCGAAACCCCTTCAGCCTGCAAGCCTCTCATCGGAGAAATTCAGATCCTCCTGACGAAATAACAGTCCAAATAGTCCAAACCTGGAGAGGTATTCATCGGCCTTTGTACCGGACCATTGACGATCAATATAGTTTCGAAGGTGATTTTTAAGCCACGGCACCTCACGAAGACGATCGCTAGATCTATAAAAGCAAACCTCATAGAGTTCAATTGGTATTGCCATGTAATTGCGGTTTTCGGTGTCCCGGTAGACCGTAGCGCGTGAGGTGTAGGACTTGTCAAGGACAATTGGCTCGCTTTGCTTGGGCTTATTCACTATCCACACGCTAATTCCTGAGCTCATCCACGACCTGATGAGGGCAAGCAACGCCAGCCGTCTGACCCCAAGATCCCATGGTGCAAAGAAGCAATAGTTCGGAGCCAATTCGATGGCGATGTTTTTAGGATGGCCATATTGATCTCTTAGAAGAGAGAGGGGGTTCAGATATGGATCATGTTCGCCAGTGAATAAAAACTCAACATCTGAAGGAAGGGCGTTCCCATAGATTTTGAGGTACATGAGATCCTGTGAATGAAGGAGATGGATCTTGAATATTTTAGACTCTTGCTTTGCGGTCAATGCCGTTAATTGCCGTCGACTATGGACGCTTGAGCCGGCAGATGTAGACGCAGTTGTGGCCTGGGCCGGGGCGTTGATGAGAAGCTTTACAACACGGATGAAAGCGGCTCGAGCCTCTCTGCAAGCCAATGCGACCCTTGGAAGATTGTAAGTTGAGGGATTTTCGTTGAACCACGACCTTGTGAGGGGTGTACTGTCGTTTGGGTCGAAAGATGGTGGTAGCAAGCGTGGTCCTCGCTGTGTTGGTAGTTCATGTTGAGGATCGACTTCAACGCAATTTGACGAGACTCCTGTAGTGCTGGAATGATGAACGGAGAAATAGTTGACTCCGTTCTGAGGAGGGGTTACTGCCATCTCCCAGATTTGATCTCTCAACTCCGGGGGGAGAGAGGAGAAAAGGGGAAATCCGACTTGTGGTGTATTAATGAGCTGGGCCTCCATCGTGAATTATCTCGTGTTGGTGATTTCCGCAAAGGCTGGGCGGATATAAAGGGGCAGGTAGAAACTGAATGTAAGTGCCAGACTGTGTAGTGGGCACATGATGTCAAAAGCTCTTTTCTTTTGGGGGTAGGACAGTCGCTTTTTAAACACTTGCTTAAAACTGCGCCACTTTGAACATCAAGGTCAGTCCAGTTGTCAGCAAGGGTCACGCGAATAGGTAATTCGAGCAAGCCCAGAGAGGTTCTGTGAGTTGAAACCCATCAGTCGACAGGATATGTCGGTGGACCAGAGGGGACATGATAAAAGTGGAAATACTCCTCTGCTAATTGCCGGACTCAGTGAATTATCATGAAGGACTTTAGTTGGCAGTGTTCAGAAATGGCATGATGCTGGCGTCAATACCAGACAGCTCTTTACGATGAGAAACGTTTTGTCTACCTCTAGCCTGACTATCCTCATGGCTGCAAAGTCGAATTGGACCCCACAGTACTGTTAGAGTACTGCAACACCCACTTCCCTGTCTCATACACGTCAAAGCTTTCCTCCTTAGACGGGTCTGCGTTCAACTTCTGCGCCTTCACCCGCCAGATGTAACTTCCAGCCGGGATAAAGGTCTTATTCGCATCAGAACCGTCCCAGTACCAGTTGCTCGCACGACCCCAAACAGCATCCGATGTCGTCTGCCACGACTTGGCGACTTCCTTTCCGGAGTCGGCATCCACGATATAAATGCTCAAGTTACGTGTTTGAACAAAGAGGGCGATCCAGACTCCGGGAAACATGCTGTCGGCGAAAGACGCGGGGACATCTTTGCTAGTTTCCAGGGTGCAAGTGAAGACGCGGCCCTCTTCCATGCGCACCGGCGATGAAGACGTCATGTTCCACATCATGAGGTATGATGTATCCCGCTTGATGATGGGGAGTTTTGCAAGCGGAGCGCCGAAGCCAGTGTAGGGGAGGGTCAGGTTGTTCACGTCGGCTGAGCCCTCTGCCTCGATGGCCACATAGCCGCCGAAGAAGGATACACGGGTCGCGGCTTCAGGAAGAGTCGGCTCCTTGGTGAGTGCAACGGAGACAGTAGATGATTTACCAGGCTCAACCTTGATGGTCGCCGGGGTGATGCTGACGTCGGCGTAAACTGCAGTGGCTTCGCCCTTCGTGAAGTTGTAGCCATTGGCTTGTTTGAGAATGTAGCCGGATGCTGCACCGACATGGCTCAAGTGGTACGTAATGGCTTTGGTTCCCGTGTTCTTGATGCTGAAGGTGAGTTCCTTGGGGCGGTTGGCCGTGTCGTTGAAGGAGAGAGCGCCAGTGCTGAGAACTGTTGTCGAATGTACTGCGTTCCACGCATCCAAGAAACCACCTCCTTGTTGGAAGACAGGAGCCAAGAAATCGGAGACCGCACCCTTGCCGTCGTTCCACTTGACCGGGCGAGCGGTGGTGGCAATCACAGCCTGGATCTCTTCGGGAGTGTAATCGGGGTGATTCTGCCTCACGAGTCCGGCAACGCCGGCCTCGAATGGAACAGCCTGACTGGTTCCTATTGCGGATTGTCAGTATTCAACCGCCAATCTAGAGAGTTGCTCAACATACCACTCACGACGCCGTAGCCTCCGTACTTGCTGGGAAATGTGCTGATGAGGTTGCCGCCAGGGGCAAGTACAAGGGGCATAGCGCCTCCAGTGAGAGTCGGGCCCCAACTGGAGAAACTAGAAGCAAAGTCACCCGTGAGATTGTTGGCCCTGTTCTCCAGCTGAATATTGGCAATTGAAGCCTCATTGGCGAGATAAACCTTTGAGGCAGGGTCTTTGTGGAACGCGTTCAGTAGCTTGACTCCAACGTCGTACTCTACTGTGGCGATGCCCTTGAGATTGGGATCTGAGCTGTCTTCGTAGAACCCGGGACCGTCTGCAACGGTCCAATTCTTCGTGGCGTAGTAGATGATGTAGGGAATTCCCAAGGCCTTCGTAATGGAAGCATCCGCACCACTGGCATCTGTCCAGCATTGCGAGAGCGAGGCAAGAATGACAGTATTTGTAAGGTCTTTTGTCAGGTCTGTCGGACTTGGAAGTGGCTGACAGTCAGTAGGGGCATCAACTTCCTTGTTCGGCGACCAGATGGTCAACTGGTTGTTCGCAGGAAGATCGTATGGCAGACCAGGGACAAATCGGATCTCTCCACCATCGGTACCAGAGGTCCAGTTTCCTTGCCAGGTGAGGTATGGGGTGACGGTGTTGTCCGTGGAGCCGACGGATGTAATAGCATCGGCCATGCCGGGACTGACGCCTGAAAAGACTCCGGGGCCTCCGTTGCCGCTTGGGAGAGAGACATATGTGCCGTTCTTAAAGAGACGCGTGGCTACAGCAGACCAGGGATCTTGTGATTGTTAGCACTAACGAGTCGACTAGAGCCTTCATGAACACCTTTACCTTCAGGAAAGGCTTGACCACCACCAAAAGAACAAGAGATAGCGTCAACACCTCGATCAGCAGCCTCCAGAAAAGAGTTGATCAACATATCGTTAGTGCTGCCTCCGTTGCAAGGCTGAATACGATAAAGTTCGTAGGTTGCATCAGGTGCCACTCCGAGAACACCGTAGCGAGCTTCGTCTCCCTTGGCAGCAATGACGCCCAGAACGTGAGTGCCGTGAAAAGAGCAATTGTCACGGACATCATTATCGTTGTCCGTCAAGTCATGCGCATAGCCAATGTCCACCTTGCTGAGGCCCGGGACGTCCACGTCGAAACCGCTGTCAATAACAGCGATGCGCACGCCTTTGCCGGTAAAGTTGGCTGCGTGAAGCTTGGCGACGCCAGTGTCAACGTGTGTGGATAGAGTATCGACTGCTCCGTCTCTGGCATGGAGTTGTGGCAGGTCGCGCTTGACGTATGTTCCAAAATCACGGCTAATGCGCCTGTCGTTGTAGAGAGTTGGCTGAATATTGATAACCGGCCAAGCCTTCTTAACTCCGTCGATACCCTGAACAGTCGCAAGAACAGACTTTTGGGCGACTTTGTCGTTATTGCATTCTAGGTTGAAGGAGGCCCCCTGAAACACGGCGTGAGTGAAGTAGTATCGCTTTGATGCGGTGCAATCTAGGCCAGAACCAGCGAGTGAAGTCTGGACTTGGTTGTTCAAGTTGTCGGCGGTCTACTGCAGAGTTAGACCTATCCCAAGTTTTATGAAAATAATTCCAACTATTTATCCTACCAACTGAGTTGATCCGTCAAATTCAACCACGAACGCATCCTTGTAAGCGGCAGCCGCCAGAAGAGGAAGGCAAGCCGCGATGGCGGCTTGCGTAAAGAGGGACTTCATCCGGGGCCGAGAACGAGTGTGAGAGTCAGAGAAATGACAGCTGAGGCTGATGGCCAGGATCCTCGACAGCCAAGCACAGGACAACAGGCGATTTTGTACAAGATGCTGAGACTGACTCGTGCAACTATCACGAACCCCCTAGCGCAGGGGCCAATACGATCGCTCTCGCATATTTCTCTAGTTTTCCCATTGGTCGAACTCTAACATATTGGTTACAATTACCGGACCATCCGTGATAGGTCTCTACCGGATTTAGTGGATACAAAGCAGTTAATATGGGATGAACTGCGCCCGAGAATTCGGGTCAGTCGGATTATGCTTATGGTCAAGTGCTGAGTGGCATAAAGACGGACAAATGCCCTCCCATTGTCCGCGCACATCGTGCCATTTCCTCGGGTACTTCAAATAGCTTATGAACCAATACATTATGACAAGAACGACGCCTCAAAGACTGGGATCGCAAGCGTATCTCTCCAACGACTCCTCAGAGCAAACGTACCCCGGCCACGGCGCGTCCCACGGCCCCTCAGCAGTCTCATAGTTGTGATACTCCGGGGTTGAGGTCCAGCGAAACAGGTCTTCCATCGCCGACGCGACGCGGATCAATCGCGCCTCAGAATATTGCCGCCCGTAGATGCAAATACCAAAAGCGGCGCCGTAACCGCTCTGACCGATTGGCACCGACGCAACGGGATATCCAGCATACGAAGGGATCGAGGCACAAGCGTTATCGTGGCCACCAGATGGATCGTTCGGCACCAGCAAGCCGTCAAGTTCAATTACAGTGCCGTTATCGAGGATATACGCATGTCCGCCGTCAATGACCTCGCGAGCGGTCCTCCGGCCCCAACCGAAGGCTTTCCAGAACTCGTCGCCCATGGTTCCATTCGTTGCGATGGCATTGTCGTAGAAATCTTGTCCTGAAACCGTGTTGTACCACCAGGTACTGTTGCCAAGGGCGCCAGTAGTGTCGTTGTGTGCATCATTCCATGCTGCCATTTCTGCGAGACTGCTTATTCCATGTCGCTCGTCTGATTCGGGGAACGTCCAATTCTGGAGAAATTCGCCATATGCCACAGCAAGAAGAGTGTTATAGGCGATGAGTTGGCCATATTCATCAGGTACATCAGCTGGCTGACCAAAGCCGTACTTGTTTGCCACGTTCTCAATGTTAGGAATATCCTAGGTATCACATTAGCTGGGGCGATGACGCAGACTGAGACAGGGCCTACAGTGATGTTATAAATCTCGGCTCCAGCAGCTCTCAACTCATGAACGCGGCTCTCATATGCCTCTCGCTGACCCGGCGAGTTTATGGCCTAGGATCACGTATGTCAGCGTTGCCACGACTGTGACTGAGGGAACATACGCCAATCGTGGACCAATATGGATTCCACGGAAGACCGAGTTTCATGCCTTTAAGAGAACTCTGATCGGTGACTTCAGCGGCATATCCGTTTTTAGGAAAATTTCCAAGAGCGTCGAATGTTAGATTGTCGAAACGATCGGGTCCGGCCATGATGTCGAGAAGAACTGCAACATCACGCATCGAGCGAGCCATGGGTCCAGGCGTGTCGTGGTAGAAGCTTCCAGGGACAACACCATGGCGGGAAACCAGCCCAGGAGTAGTCTTGATAGTGTAAAGCCCCAGTAGCGCAGCAGGGTGAACCAAAGAGCTTAGATACAGGTGTCAGTATGCGAATGTCCGATCGCAGCCCGATAGAGTCTTAGAAACTCACCCGTGAGTTTCGGTTCCTAAGGCAATCGCCGCCTGGTTGCTTCTCACTGAGACTGCAGAGCCACCACTACTCCCGGACGTAGGCTGAGTAAGGTTAAACGGGTTTCTTGTCTGCCCCACGCGAGTTGAATAGCCATCAGAGAAGTTTGTGAGCGCCCGATGGTCAGCAGCCTCTGAGAGGGCGGTGTGCCCCAGTAGAACACCACCTGCTTGGCGTATCTTGGTCACAATGGTTGCTTCAGATGAATATCTTCCACCAAGTAAAACAAGACCGCCTTCGCTCGTGTTATGTTTGTCGTCGGTGTAGATGTTATCTTTGACCATAAATGGAATGCCATGCAACGGTCCCCTAATCCCCTTGGCATTTCGCTCATCGTCTAAGCTAGCGGCGATGGCCGGGGCGTCTGGGTTAACCTCGCTAACCGAACGAAGGACTGCGTTTGTTTGCTCAATACGAGCTGCATAGCAGCTTACTAGGTCCTGGCTTGTGAGATTTCCTAGAGTCATCCAGCGCTGAAGAGTGCCGATCGCCGCGTCTTCGATGTCGATGCCCTTGCAAAGGGGCACTATTGCAGTCCGGTTAGAGCAAAATCAACAAGTTTACGAGACACGTACTGGGGAACGGCGAGTCTTCGCCACGCGACTCATAGACCAGCGAACATAGAGCCCCCGTGGCCAAGCTAGACGCTAGCACAGCGACTTTCACGAGCGATCCCATGCTGACAAAAGCCATTCCTCCAGCCTGACCTTGAATCAGACATCAAAAACACAACATGGCATCTATCCTACCGGGCATGACGATGTTGTCTCAGATTTATAATTAATCCGCCAAGTCTTCGTCAAATTTGCCGCGAGCCTTATCAATGGTCATCACCTAGATAAGTTGCCGTCGCCGATAACATCGGCCCTGGTCCGGTTCTCTCGGTGAGAGAACTGATAAGGGTGCCGGCGCGGCATTCAGGTGGGGCCGGCCGTCGGAGAGTCAACAAGCTTAACCTAACTTGTGTCTAGCCGGCGGCTACAGCTGCCGTTTCCGCGTTGGTCAGGGATCTTCATCCCTCCGGTACCTGTGGAGCCCCAGAAGTCGGACATAATCCCGATTTATTGTCATTGAAATGCGGAGCTTATCTGCAGTGGAGTTCTCTGGAAGGTGACACGCTTGACGCGAGAATCATGAAGGCCAAAAGCCTTTCCGCGCCGTCACAAATCTCGGTCTCCCATACCAAAATTTCACGGCCTCGCGTGAGCACCTCCAAATACCAAGAATAGTCCATGGATTGGCCAAATGCCTTCCGGGATCAAATTCAGTCTCTCCCAACAGCCCACTTCGTCGCGTCCTTCAGCCATGTAAACACCATTTCTGTTCCATTGAAGACATTCCTTGCCATAAGACCCTTCTTCGGGTCTCTTTCGGGACCGGGGTCATTAAAAGTCTGCACCAAGCGCGTATTATTCTTGCCAACCTCTAGGATGGAGCCGCCCGGGACTCCGTCATCCTCGGCGCACCGAAGCATTGCCTCGGCGACCTCTTCCGGAGTTACCCAACCGTCTTGGCTCTCGTCCAAGTTGATAAGCTTCTCTGGATGCTCCGTCCATAGAGGCGTGCGGACAACGCCAGGCGCGACGGCATTGATGCGGACTCCATCCGTTTCCTCCAGCCGAGCTAAACTCCGGACAAAGCCGGTGATGGCGAACTTGGACGCGGAGTAAAGTGGGGCGTTGATGTTCGGCACCTGACCCGCGACGGAAGAAATGTGGACAATTCGCTTGGGGTTGCCTGGTGAGGCCTTCACAGCAGGAGGGAGCTTTGTGTCCGTGACTTCTTTTGGGTGAAGCCAGTAAGAGATCGCCAGCTGCGTGGCTCGAATTGGGTGCGTGATGTTGATATCCAGCAGCTTGTAGTGTCCTCCGTCGACGCTGTCCTTGCTCTCTGATGACCCTGGAGGATGCCAAAAGTTCGACCAATGCGGCTCATATACGCCTGCTCCAGGACAGAGAATGTCGAAATTTCCAAACTCGGCGAGAGTCGCGTCAAACATTTTCGATAGCGCCGGCCATGAGGTGACATCAGTCTTGACGAAAATTGCTCGGGGATTCCTATTGTGCTTCGAAACCAGCTCTTCCGCTTCAGGTCTCAGAGCCAGGTCGGCAATTACGACATTGCAGCCGCGCTCGAGAAGCAGCTCAGCAAAGGAAAAGTTGATACCTGTGTGCAGCGTCAGTGTCAACGCGTTCTTGATGTCGATTTTTGATGTGACCGACCGGAGCCTGCTCCCGTGACGATTGCCGTCTTTCCAGACACGCTGAAAGGCGTGCTTTGCTTTGATGTGTTGGCAGCCATAACGTATGTTGGTCCTTTTTAATACAACAAGATCACGGATTCTTGAATGTTGAAAGAATAACCTGAAAGTTTTGAGATGACTGAAACTCTAAGTTGGAATGTCTCAACATAAAAAGGACCCTGGGCTGGGTTCCCCTCTCGCTCGGTTTTCTTGCCGTCCAATATCCGGGAAACTTGCCCTTTCAGATGACCAAGGGCGGGGTTCGATTTGCGTCTGTTAGAGACTTTTATTGGACGGCTCTAAAAAGACGCCTTTCGGATCCCATTTCACCGAGTCGACAGGGCAGCTGAGACATATGTACGGCGAGTATCGCTCCAACGCCCCTACGATGCAGCTCGACGGGTGAGGGGAAGCTACCCCGCAACCCCGCAGCGAGACTGTTTGGCCAGGATGGCCAGCGGGAAACTGTAACCCTCAAGCCTCGGAATAAGCGGGCATCATCAAAATAGGAAGCGAGGAAGAAAAAAGAGTTGGTATATTCGAATAAACCTCCGGATCTAAACACCTTGCGAACTCCGCTGGGTATCTGGTGTCATCAGCCGTTGAACGCTGTCAACCACGGAGCTAAGCTTTCCCAGAGAAACAACGGATGACGTCGTAGAAACTCGCGCAAACAGACCCAATGTTGACACCAATTGTTTGAAAATCGTTGCCTGATCAGGGTGCAAGTGAGAAAAGGCTGCTGTGATGCAAAATGAGCTCACCGCGACTTGAATAAAGTGGCTATAAAATATGATTCTTAGTTGCCATAAAGCAGACATGGGAGATGCATTTTGAACTCACCGGTTCATCCTGGTGGTACTGGGATCCATATTGACAATGACGTTAAGAACCTCGGATGCGAATTGCGCAATGATATGTTCCGACTTGTCAAGAGAAATGTCCGTCCCCGCTTTTTGAAACAGCCGTCCGTAGGCGAAGAGAGCCATCTCAAAAAGAAACAACTTGGATGGGTAGCTGGAAACGGGACACGACACCTTTGATGTGTCGGGGTGTGTACTGTTGGAAGTCCAAGCAAAGATATGATCTGCCCACCCCTTTGTCTCGAGCACCTCTGAGTTGAATCTTTGAAGAACCACAATCCACTTCTCGGCACGATCGCTCACTTTGGTAACTAAGTTCGGGTCACGAGCGTCCCCTGCCATGTGGAGGTCTTCGGACATGCGAGAGCAGAGCTGAGATAGCCGGCAATGAGCGTGGAAATCTCGAGAAATTGAAGAGGTAGTCCCGGTTTTGTCGCAGTCGGTCAAGGGATTATGGTCGATGAAAGCGTCGCTTATTGACTACATGTCCATGATGTTAGAAAGTACATATGCACCTCGTCACAATCTCCACTGCTCCAGATGACTCAACAGCAAAGACTGACAGAAAATTGTCCTGATCGCATTCTAAATGCTTTTTCGATGCAGTATAGGAGCCAGAAGGCTTGTCGAAGTTGATTGATCTCGCTGTCAGTCTGGCATAATTGACGGATTGCAGCCATGTTGTTGAGTCTCAAGGCCTGAGCGCAGGAGACGCAGAGACCTAACACGCATGAAGTTTGCTCTACCCTGTATTGCAATGTGGCGACAAGCTTCGAAATATGACCATTAGCCTATACTGTTTCATATGCTCGTCAATAGAAACTCACCGTCGTGAGTAAAGCCTGTGAGACGATTAGAGCCGGGACGGCATGGGAGTTCGAGGTTACAGATAGGTACCTTGAAGACCAAGATCGACGGCCTAGCAACAAACATCTTCTCCACTGCCAATAAGGCCTCCTGGTAATGTGAATTCCCGCCGGTATCATTACTAGTTGTCGGGCTGGAACGACTGCTTTTTGAACAATTAAGATTGCCAATGGCCATGGACGCAAAGACCAGAGCTCTCTTCGCCGGATCTGTGACACCCTCTATGACAACCTCCTGATAGAGACGAGATACTTCAATTTCCGATACATAAATGGCTCCCCTAGGTCAAATTAGAAGTGAGTATGTCAAATCTGAAATCGAAACGCACAGGTATGGCTCAGAAAGAAACGCTACGCGATCGTTAGTCAGTAAAATGCCGAGGGAAGAGGATCTTGGATCGTTACCTTGGATGAACTGAAAGTGCGTATCGACATGGTGCGAAGGTATGTTCACATCGTCGAACAGACTGAGATATTCATGAGTTGTAAAACACCCCTCAGCAACTTCAAGAAGACGTGCGATAAGTTCGGTGGACGTTCCATTGAGGTTTCTCCGTCTGTTTAAGAACAGTTTTACCATATCGAGAGTGAGACTGGGAAGATGGCGCGGGGCTTAAAAATGATTCAGCGAATGTTCTCTCTGAGGAATGTGGCCGAGACCCACAATGTGAAGATGCTTGTAAAGCGACGGCGTGACTAGCCTCGAAGGCATCTAGCTGCTGTGACGACATGTCGAAGTCCACCCAATTTACAGGCGATAATTCGCAGAAAGCTGCGGACGGATTTGCTACTTGATCCTGGACATAAGGACCCGATGTCCAAACATTGTCTAGCGTTTCGGTTCCAGGGCTCGTCTTCATATCAGTGCTGCTCAATATTCCCATGTTCTCTCCAGAGCTGAACGATCTATTTCCTAGAGAAACCCAGATGTCATCCTGAGGCGCAAAAGAGTGAGAAACCGTGGTACTTTCAAGAAGCTGGTCGATTCCGGAGAGCGATGAAGGAGTGGAAGAACTCGCTGCATAGATGACGTGATCCGCTGTCGTCGAAGTCACTATTGAGCGTGAGGCATGAGCGCTTAAGTCGTCAAATGATTGTCTTGCTCTAATGGATGAGCTTTGGCCTAAAAGTCGGTTATTATTGCTAGTCAACGTTCAAGAGAATGGCTGCTTGATACTGCTTTGGCTCGATCGGCCCCTTTTCTTCGGGGTCAAATAGACACAATAAGATGCGGAGGACTATGATCCGTCAGAAAGGTCGACTGCATTCGCAAAAGCTACACAGGTAATGCTTACGAGGCACTTTTCGCAGCTTGGCCTGCCTCCATCGCCTGGAATTTGTAAGAAGACATCCAAGGTATCCATCGAAGATTCTGAGCAGCTTGACGTACACTTTCGCTTTCGGATTTTGCATGTCTCGCATGCGCCTGGCCGGCGCTTATACACTCGCCCTCCCGCTTCAACTGAGTTTGTTGTGGTTGGTGAGGACATGGCATGAGAGCCTGGTTAAAAACGCGTCGGCTCAATTCCTCTTCGCAAAGATCATTAAATCCGAGGACTGCGACGTTGAAATTGAGGGGCTCTAAATGAACTCTTTTGAACCATCCAACGGTCGTATGATGCGGCTGGTGACCTCCGGGCCGTAATACCCGAGTAGGGTCGCTGAGTGCCACTTGCGAGTGACATTCTGGGTCAATCCTATGAAGGAATCCTTGCGTGGCGAATGAAACAAAAGCTCATGGGTCTCGCTCTCGCCTTGCGCGCAACATCACAAGTGCCTTTGGAGGGTGCTGTGAAACCTAGTATTGAATACGTCTTCAGTGCTAGGTTTATGGATGAAGCAGCCAGTCGGAACTGAGGCCCGTTGTTCTTTAGGAATTCTGCCCTTACCTTGAATAACCTTGAAAGCTTTATGCATCGATGATTCTAAACCCACTAGATCTAGTCAGCGGATGGCTTCTGGACGACACTTGGGACCAAGGAAATGGCGCCCGCATCCCGTCTCGGGGCTGGCCCCACAACCCGCAGTCACTGCGCATATCATTCATGAACAAAATCGATGGTCTGATCATAATAAAGGTTGTCGATCGTTGTGGTTGCTCACCCTCAATACTGTTTCAGCCGAGGGCGCTGTTCACCTGATGCGCCCTCTGCGATCCGCCTCGTCGACGTTGATGAGCATTTAGCTGATCATTTGTAATTTCATCTGCCCAGAGGCCAATGCGGATAATTTTAGACATGAACCAGTTCGGGGATTAACTTCGGCTCCAGCCTCAACCCCATAATTCGGCCGTGAGAGGAGTCGTAATGAACTTTGCTTGTTGACAGATCTTATCCAGCTTCACACCGTTCCTCGATTCCCTTTGGTACGCTCAGTTGTTCTGCGTCGCTAAGTGGACTTGACTACGCAATTGTTTGGGTCCAAATTCAAAGTTGCCTGGACCCTGAATGGACTCTGACAGCTCGGAAGTCCGAGGTTCACGAGATTGGGATGAGTGGCTCTCATGTCAACGCTAGTTAACTCAATGGCTGGTGACAGTGTTCAAAGTATTGGCTGAGAGGCAGTGGGTCGACTGACTTGCCGTGTTTTCTATCCGAAAGACCTCAAAACAGAATTAAGCCTCCCGCTGGGATCTGAACCTGGATTCACAATGTCAAAGGTTAAGCTGACTCGGTCGTGGGGTTGGCAACTTTGCACCTTAAAAAGGTCAGTGCAGGAACTAGCATCCTTGTCATGCAACTACCCCTCACCAACAGCTTTTCGTAGAAGACTGATATTTAAACTTTGACGATTGCTTTGCCTTTGGAATTAAGCTGCCATCGTGGCGTGATCTCATCCTAAGTGATTATCGCTGTGAACGCCTTTGCAGTGCCAAGATCATCACCGTTGCTGTCAGAAAAGACGTTGATCATATCACTATCAGCCCTACCTGAGCTCCTGGTGTCTTCAGGTCCTTGATTCAGGAGCTTAGTCTTATCCCGTTCTTCTAAGAAGCTGGACTGAAAGGCCGCGTAAACCCAGTTCCCCCGTCCCTCATTATGGCCCGCGCGGGGAAGCATTCCGCGGAACATCAGTTCGGTCTGTCCCTTAACTTTGAGGACTACCCTGCCGGCAGGCAAGCGACCCCACATCAATCTGATATATCCTGTGAAAGTCGATATTCGACCTCTCGCCAAGACCATACGATAGCTAGCCTTGGGAAAGTGGCCGGTTCACTATGAGGCTATGCCTATCAACGTTCGAGAACACTAGGTGTCTATCCATTTTGGGGTCAAGTCCGGTCTTGGACCAGGGCTGGCCGTCACTGGAATTTCCGGCGGCATCGGAAATGTGGTCTTTCTTCTTGCACTAGTCTAGTGCTACTAGTGAATTGACGGGCGTCTATTCGTTGGCATTGCGGCCCGGAATTCCCGTATCGATACGTTCTTTAGCTGATACGACTCATTTTCCAGATGCCTTTCCCACTCGGATGAATCGCGGCCCATCTGACTTGCGGATGACGATCGGTGTCTGGTGCATTGTCATGATCACATGTTCTTTGTAATCAACCGTGATGATTGATAATTTCGGCCAAAATTTCTAATGACGTTATACTACTTGTCTCTGGCGGAAAGGCATTGCGGGAAGTGAACGGAAAAGCAGCAAACGATGACCGAAAAGAATTGGAAGACTGGTCCGTATGACACTTGAGTGGTAATTAACGGAGAGCACCAAGCCCGACCTGTGCATTGTCTATGTCGCAAACAGCTTTACGGAGTCCCCATCAGCCTCCCGTAGCCGTTGTCTATTGAGCCTTCTGAACAGAAACCAGGCAAAGTGCGCGAATAACATGCACATAACGCAGAATCCAATACTACTGCCGAGTCCGACCAAGAAACGTGGGCTGTCAGAATCAGGCCATAGATAAGCCGTATAAATGTTTGCTGCGACTGCAGAAAAGTTGACCATAGCCATCGTGACAGCTTTCTTTTCGTGGGAATCAACGACATTAGCAGCAGCCCAGCCGAGAATAATGCTGCCTGTAGAGTATGAGCCAGCGGCGAACAAGAAGCAGGCGACATATCGGGGCGCCACACTTGTTGTTGCACAAGCTACAGCAAAGCCGACCACAGCAAGGGCATTGCCACCATAAATGTGCCAGGCGCGCTCGTCGAACCGTCCAGAGGACCAGGATAGAGCCAGTGCAAACATTGCGGCAAAGACGTATGGGGGTGATGTCAAGACCAGTGTGATGGTACGATCGTATCCACTGCTGGATATCAGATAGGTGGACATGATTAGAATGGTGACTTGACACTTACAGGGTCTTGACAATCGTTGGGAAAAATTGATTGAAGGACATGGCTGAAAAATGCATGTTTTGCATGAACATGAACAACCAAACCTTGTAGTCTTTCAAGGCGCTCATCAAGCCTTGGATCGGGGTCTCGTGCTTCAACTCGTTCATGTTGTCCTCTTCCAATCGCATCAAGCTGCAGGCATTCTCCTCAGCCGTAAGCCAACGGGTCTTTCCAGGTGTATCTGGAAGCAGGAAAATGCCTCCAATCGCCGCTAGAAAGGTTGCTGATTCCTCAATTATGAAGAGCCTGAATATTGGTTAGCATTGAACCACAATCGTATATTGTTGAGTGCTCACCATTGCCAGCCGTGCAGGCCTTTCGTTCCATCAAGACCTGCAAAAATGCCCGCGGTGATCAGCCCTGAGAAGGCACTTGAGCTGAGCTGCCCGCAGTACAGGATGGCCAGGCGCGTCGCAAGCTGAAGTGGTCAGAGTTTGGTCGCTAGAAGGGATAGACAATCTCTCACCTCGGACTTCGTATAAAATCGGCTCAACAGGTATATGGCGCCCGGGTAAAAAGGAGCTTCGAACCACCCGAGCAAGAACCTCAGAACAAGAAGATGGACGTAGTTGTCTGCCATAGCCGTGAACGCGGAAACTATGGCCCAGCCACACATGCAAACACCCATGTATACAGACGGCCGAACTCGCGTCAAGATCATGTTCGATGGGATGCCGGCGGTGAGATAGCCAACATACAGGATAGATATGCAGGTGTTGTACTGTGTACCTTGGAGGCCCAGATGGTCCGAAATCCCGTTGAGTTTGGCTTGAGGCAGTCCATTCCGATCCCCTAGGAAGGTTAGTCCAGGTCTCCGAAACATCAAGATCACAGGATTCGCTTACAGTGGTTGAGGAAGTACAAGATGAAAAATACTGGCATCATGCGATAGTCCAATTTTCGCAACAAAGACCTCTGAGCGACAGGGTCTATGTTCGAAACCAGGGCGTTCCCCGGTTTCTCCTTGTCTTCGTGTTCAACCTCAGTGGTTGAGGGTTTCGTTAGTTCAGCCATGATGTCCAAAATTGCAACAATTTTGGAGACACTGGCAACAGAATTGAGTGAGACCTTGGAATAGACGACATATATGTAGGTGCGCAGAGCCGCGAGCAAATAATTCTGAGATTGACCCTCGGAATGCCAAGATGGGGTTGGCCCATCCGTATCACGCCCCATCCCCTTGCTCCGTACCCCGTACCCCATACCCCACGTCCAATACCCCGCGATTGCTACGTCCGCACCACGTCGAGAAGGATCGGTCAATTCCCGCAGACCGCTTGTGTCTCTAGCCTTGGTGGCGTGGTTCTTTATCAGATGCGGGTGCTCGCCGAAGGAGGAATTGCTGAAGGTGCTGGCCGTCACTAATTGCATTATCTCATGATTTCCTCCCTTGTTACGTACCTAATAAGTAACATAAAAAAACCTAATAAGTAACAGGAGAGGTTTCAATGTCATATGTGGGCAATGAAAACTTGATGCGGATTTATATTGACCGGTTTGTCGTGAATAACCCAGGCACTGCCCAGCTGTTGATGGCTACTTGGCAGTGCCTACATTCCTCCCCCAAGAGCAAAGATGGCATCAGTTTTCATGCTCATAGTCTTTTTGACAATGGCATCTCTCTCTTCGAGTCATCCTGTTCTTGAGATGGGGAAAAGAGCATCTGTCAACGTTACTTTCGATGAGTTACCTCTTGAACCTTCTGACCCAAAGTATTCGTCCTGGGGACTTTGGGGCAAAAATGACCAGTTGGGTAGAACAAACCTCATCACTGCAGAGGTTACCCGTCAAGCTGCTGTGTCAAATATCCGGACTGGGGAGGTGATTCCTCTGAAGTGGGTTCCCGGTTCGCGAAGTCTGGAAAGCAAGGCTCACACCATGACAGCTTGCCACTGGATCAACCCCTGCGTCCCATGAATCCGACGCGGGCGAAATTGAAGCACAATATAATTGTCAAGGAGGTTTCCAACGACGATGAGGTCAGCTGCATATACACCGGGCGAAATTGAAGCACAATATAATTGTCAAGGAGGTTTCCAACGACGATGAGGTCAGCTGCATATACACCGGGCGTCACTAGAACATCTCTCGCTGACCTTTTAGATGTCCATCAACACCCAGGCTTCTACTCACTGGGATGGCCCACGGCATATGCCATACTTGGAGGGCAGGAAATTCTACAATCATATCACCCAAAACGACATATCGGGACCTTACAACAACACGCGCATTGGCATTCAGAGTATGTATAATGACGGCAATCGCTTGTGATTCTTGAGCTAAGTCTCGCAGACCTGGCTGAACGCCCCATTGCTTCCAGGGGTGTCCTTCTCGACTGGGCGGACTATGCCGCCGAAAAGAATATTTCTTACAACGCATTCGACAGTTTCGAAATTCCATATACAGATCTGCAGATAATTGCTGATTCACATGAAATCAAGTTTCAGGAAGGCGACATTTTACTAATTCGCAGCGGCTACCAGCTTCAGTATGAGGCGCTCAACGAGACGGAAAAAGACCAAATGGGTCTCCGAGAGGGTGCTGATCGCAAATACATGGGGGTGGCCGGAAGTGTTGACAGTGCTCGTTGGCACTGGGAGGCTGGATTCGCCGCTGTGGCCGGAGATACTAACGCGTATGAGTCGTGGCCTCCCGTCACTGAGGGTGGTAGACTGAAACTGCACGAGGTATTTCTGTCAGGCTGGGGCATGCCCATCGGTGAGCAATTCAGCCTTGAGGCGCTCTCCAAGAGATGCAAAGAATTGGACCGATGGACATTCTTTGTAACCAGCCAACCGCTCAACTTGCCCGGCGGAGTCGCGAGCCCCGCGAACATCATGGCCATTTTCTAGTGCGTGCATGTAATGCCCCCGGGGCACCCACGCTTCAGAATACGGATGGCGCTTCTAGCTAGTCTAACAATGAAAATGAACTAGCAGTGCCGCGTAACCGTGCCAAGAACTCACCTGTGACCGTTCATCGCTGACAGCAACCCTGCGTGCTCTCCACTGCTTGCACCTAAGTGCTAGCATGTTCACCGGGTTCTACTCATTCACACCAGAAACACTGCTTTCGAATCATTGACATTGTTCATGTCACTGGAATTGTCTCAATGGAATCACCGCAGCGCCAAGTTTTACGTCCAACATGCGCAAGATGCCGAATGCGCAAAGTGAGGGTCAGTAACTTTTTATCCCACCGGCTGCTGAAGCTCACTTTTCCCCTCTCTCCTTTAGTGTGACGGACAAATGCCGAGGTGCGGTCCCTGTGAGCAAGCCAACGTGGACTGTTTGGTAGCCGGTGTGTCGAGTTCGAGCCCCTACAATCGAAGGTACGATACAGCCCCCTCAGTTGCAAATGTGTATCTGATCTTGTGCAAGTTATGTTGAGTCCCTTCAAGAAAGGATTCGCGAGCTCCAGAAACAAGAGCAAGAGGTCAAAGCCCTCCTAGATAGTAAGCGCAAGGAAGGTGGGCGCCCGATGGCTGCTGAAGATCTCAGTCCCGGCAATCATGATATGAGAAGCCACTGGCCTGATGCATCACCAACTGAGATCGGTGCTCCCACAAATGAACACGGCATGGGGTAATTCATCCCGTACTCATAAGCATCCTCAGAGACGTTAAGAACAGTTCAGATTCATTGACCTCATATTCGCGAAAATCAAGACCGAGGTAGCAAAGTCGAGTGGGACACTTAGCTGGCCTCCCAGTTACCATCGGAACACGACAGCTTGTACAATATCGAATTCATTGTCAAGTCTGTCACCGACTATGATAGACTCATTGTTTGAGACCTACACGAGAAGGTCACTCTCCCGGTACCCGTACATCGAAGGACATGTGGTGGAGGGTCTGAGAATCAAAGCTCTTCAAACTATTGCTTCTCCAGAGACGAACATTTCTCCAGAGGAATCATTTCGCGCGTATGCCATCATGGCCACTGGAGCGGTTTATCGGAATCAGGAACTATGCGTTCAAAACATCGAAAACCACGAACAGGGCCTTGTAAGCCCTAATGACCTTTTCGCTGTCGCAATGCGAGACATAAGCCAAGTCAACCTTCTTCACGGCATCACTGGTATACAAAATCTTCTTCTCATCACCCGGTATCGCCTGTTCCAAGCAATTGGTGCTAGCCTTTGGGACCTGACTTTCCTCTGTCTCAGAGCATGCGTCGCCTGCAATTTTCATCTTCGACCGATGCAACGCGTGCCCGCATTCGAGGAACAGATGCAACGCCGCGTATTTTGGCAGTGCTACGGTGTTGACAGATACGTGAGCACGACTCTCGGCAGACCATTCGGGATCGCAGATGACGATATAACGGTTGCGCTTCCAGCAAACCTGGACGATACAGACTTGAAGGACGCTCAAGTCTTACTACCATATGCGTCACTGGACGAGCTCGTTCAAAACAGAAACCCGTCGAATACTTTGACAAAGATGTCATTATCAATCTCACATTTTCAGCTCCGACAAATAAGTTCCCGGGCTTTCCGCGATTTCGGAAGGCTAAGGCATGTCTCCACCAAACACAGTCACCCTAGCGCCGATGATTCAGGTCGCAAGAGCGTGACAATCAAGACGGAGGTCTGGAAGCTATACTATAATCATCTCAAAGAGCTCTTAGACTGGAAGTCTCGAAGCAGACAGTATCAACGAAAACGTATCGGATCAACGTCAAACGACAGCAGTCTCTTGAATGATGAAAGATGGATTGACCTTCATTTTCATCAAGAACAGCTCTTTCTTATCTGTCTATCTATGAAATCCACGCCGGCCACCTCTGAGTTCATTGAGCCGATTGATCTCATCGATGAGCTATATGACGCGGGTAGCAACGTCATAACTCTCTATTCAGAATTGGCCGGAGACGTCAAAGTCGAACTCACTGCGGGAAGGCTTTATCGAGTTCTCACAGCCGGGTTCTCAATTCTTTACACCATAATTGTGGATTTCCAGACTCGATCAGACGGGTCAGCACGAAAAGATGGGACACCAAGTTTATACAAGGAACCGTGGCCTCGTGAAGGACTTGTCGAGTGCAAGGCAATGTTGAGAGTGTGCACCAGAACAATGAGCCGCATGGCCGAACAAGTCACTTCTCAACAACTGATCCCAAAGTACGTGGGCTACTTCGACCTGCTTTGCCGCGAAGTTCTCAGAGTCGTCTCCAGAGAGGGCGAAGTATACAGCGGGCGACAGCTCACAGCTACATCGGCAAACGGATCGAATGCAGCTCAGCTCAATTCAAATGAGACGGATCCTATAGAGGTCTCGCCGGGATGCTTCTCAGACGACTTAATCACAGCACAACTTGCTTGCCAGCTGCCCACAGAACACCTGCAACCCTGCTACTGCGCCGTCTATGAGGACCCTCAGGCCCAACCAGCCGGTTCAGTCCCTGCCACCTGGCTCAATGCAACGCATAATGGAGTGGGCTTTGATGGAAGCGATTTTGATTTAGGTTCATTTGTGGCAGAGTGGAACGACTCTACTGTTTGGGAAGCCTTGTCTGGAGACTGTCAGAGTCAAGCAGACACCAACTTCATTCCGATGTAGCCAACAAGACATGAAACAGGCGAATCTCTTGATCTGATTCCAGTCTGATGCATGACACCAATCGTGACATTCCGCGATGCAGGCCCGGCTGGGAGGCTCGACTATCGTGATATCGGTTCTGTATCGAATGAGCTGCCTGCAACGCTATCTTCTCGTCTTCAAATATCGGTAAAGGGACGCGGGTAGTCTGCCGTTCCATGTTACCTGTGCTGTAGTGGTTTCCGTTCTTCGTTATGGCGTATAAATGCAAGACTGCATCAAATCTTGACTTGTGTAATGCCAAGCCCTTGAAGTCTATGCATACTCGTGACAGGTATTGTGAGCACTTATCCAGCGCCTCCGAGAGAGGGGCACACAGCTCCTCGTTTTGAGACATCGTGTCTAATACTCTCGTGCTTTTCAGACACAACATGCCAGCCCTGTAGACCATCATGCCTTTGATCCAAGAGACCCCGGGCTCCTCCTCATGTAAAAGCCGCCGGAGTAACATGATGGACACAAATAGGCAATACCTTTCAAGTGTGGTAGACGCTACTGCTGTGTTTCTCAGCATTAGACAGACCATATTGCAGAGGTATTCTTGGTCGAGCAACCGCTGCACCTCTGTTGAACAGTTCGTGGGTTGAGAGCTCCCAAGACGACTGATCGAGTGGGCCAAAGGCATAATAGAGCTTTCGCACAAAGGCTCCGTGAAACTATCCGCCAAGTGCTGACTATGAGCAACCCAGTACTTCCAGACATCACCTTCAACTTCCCCTGGAGCCACAGCGAAGGTTTGAGAAGACTGCTAGTATTAGCTGTGACCCGCCGACTTGCAGCTTATTCTGCATTCTTACCTGATGTGGAAATTCACTGCCAGTCAGGCTGGATACTCTGGATAAGGCACGGCAAACCATCTGTTCCAGCATGTATGCACAAAGAACGGCTCGTTTAGTGCTGATTGGGGGTTCTGGGACGTCTGATGAAGGGCACGAATTATGTTCGCATCCCGTGCTGAGTCTGACGGCAAGTCCAATCAGATGCCACGTGCAACCTACTGAAGGCCGGCTCATGCTATATATAGCCAAAAGTAGTAGTGTCCGGACTTGATCCCAGCTTTGTGAATGTTTGAAGATCTCCTCTAGATGACTGAGGGCCAGAAGGCAGAGGTTGCCTTCAATCTGGGTGGCAAATGAAATCCGGTGACCTTCGATGGCAATACCAATGGCAAGAACGCAGAATACCTGAAAGCGCTCTGCGGGGCTAGCGTTTACAAGGTGTTGTATGTTGCGGTCGGATTCACATTGCGTCAGCTTAGCTGTCAAGACTTCTATGTTAAGAAAAGGATAACGCAGATGGTATGCTTTCTTGTAGGTCGCAAGAAATGTTACGCCCTCCATGATAATAAACTTTTCAATCATGGCTGGCACGGCAAACTGATCGGAGTTGATACTTTGGGGATGGAAACAGGATCGCAGATGAGACGAGCTAATTGGGTCACTCCCATCTGCGGACAGAATCGTGTAAATCACCGACATCGTACTGAACAAGCCGCTTTCGCTTCGTTCGTTCATTCTGCTGAGCGAGACTACTGTGTTCGCACTCACTGGGCAGCTTGGGTGGTCCTGTAATGCGCCTGGAGCACTGAAGAGATCATTTGCAGTCCTGAAGTGTGGCGCTAAACCTGAATCCATTGACATGGTTGCTGTTGGCGTGTTGGCTGGGCCTGTACCCATCGGCTGTGAATGTTCGGCCTGTGTGGAGAGTGACTCAAGCTCGGCTCGTTGCTTCTGAATGGATTGCTCCAAGGCCTTGACCTTTGATTCAAGAGGCTCAACAAATCTGTGTCTAAGTCAGTCATGTCCGCGGGTCTGGTGTGGATGGTGAGCGGATAGTACCCTTTCGGAACCCGCTGGCGCTTCTGCCTGGAACAAGACTGCAAATCCAGCACATCCGGCACACCGCACTCTCGGCCTGTCTTCGCACAATATCCGCAACAGGGTAACATGCGGTCACACTTCGGATTGACGTCAGCTATTGGCCCTACTAGAATGGTCGCTCAGAAGTCAGGGGCTTCGATACCTTTCTCTTGCCCTTCCTACATGGGTCACACGCCACCGGCATTCTAGCCTGCGGGGACCCGCTCCCTTCACTCATTGTGCCGTGGAAGAGTTTTGCGGTATGTCCTCTGAAATCGATGGATGATACATGTAGGAGGGAAAGATGCTCAGCAACGAAGATAGCTGGACATCTGCGTCCGCACCTGTTACTAGCAATGAGGTTTGCGGAGCCGGTGGGATGTGCGGGGTTATCGGGCTAGGTGGGCCTAGTTGCTGAACCACTGCTTGTTCTTCCGTCACCTGAATGCGGGACATAGCCGAGATGTATCTAATAACTTGACGGATGTATTTGCGGACATTTGCCGAGCGCAAGTCACTTTGCGGATTACAACCGAAGCCTGCCATCTCCGTCTCATGCGACTCTGTTGGTCAACTTGAATTCCACGATGCTACGTTCATTCTCGGCCATGTTCCAGTGTCCGTCATCCTAGGTTTTATTATGCCCACATCCTCATACCCTGATGTGTGAAGATCGCTCTTACGGAAAATCTCTTCATGTCTCATTTGGTTGGTTGTTAATTACTGCGGAAAATTCCCCTCCCATCAGCTATTCGGCATGGTCAGATTCTCAAAGCAAGCGGACGAAATCCGCATTCTCACGGCTAATGCCATGTTGGGGTGAGACATCAACTGTCTGTTCATAGCAATGACACTAACACCGAAGATCAAAGATACGGATACAAGTCCGATCACTTCTGGTTCGGGATTCATGAGTACCGCCCTGATGCTATTGTTATCGACTCTGGCAGCACGGATGGCGGGCCATTCAAATTGGGCATGGGCCGAAAGACAGTTGCCGATGAATCATACATCCGCGACCTAACGCCATACATCACAGCCTGTGCCCACTATGGCATGAAGCTCCTCATTAGCAGTGCCGGTGGTGACGGCAGCGACAAGCACGTTGCTGAAATTCTCACCATCGTCAACAAGATTATTGAGGACAACGGCTTCAAGTTCAAAGTTGCCACAATTGGTGCCGCGGTTCCGAAGGGCCTTATTCGGCAGAAGCTCAAAGACGGAAAAATCAGCCCCTGTGGTCCTGTTCCCCCTCTCACCCCCGAGGATATTGACTCGGCCGTTGATGTCGTCGCCCAGATGGGACCTGAGCCGTAAGTCAAGTCAGAACCAGTCTGAGCAGAGCTCTCACTCACCTTACCTTCAGGTTCATCAAAGCTCTCGAAGAGGAGAAGCCAGACATCATTGTAGCAGGCCGCGCATACGACCCTTCGCCATTCGCGGCGTTCTGCATGAACCTCGGTGTTGAGCGAGCCCCTGCGTTCCATCTGGGGAAGATTCTCGAGTGCGGCGGCCAGTGTGCTGTTCCTAAAGGTCGCTCGATGATTGCTACGATTCGGAAAGATTCTTTTGACCTTACGCCCTTGAACCCTATTGAGAGATGCACCCCACTCTCAGTAGCAGCACACTCACTCTATGAAAAGACAAGGCCAGACCAGCTTCCTGGCCCGGGAGGAGTGCTTCATCTTGATCAAGCACAGTACAAAGTGCTAGACGATGGTCGAACGACCCGCTGCTGGGGATCCCGCTTCGTTCCAACTCCGGCTTATCAAATCAAGCTTGAGGGTGTGTCCCTTGTAGGGCATCGGGCGATATTTATTGGTGGCTTCCGAGACCCCATACTCGTCTCCCAGCTAGACGACTTCCTCGAGAACCGGGTGCGAAACTACACCCGAGGACTGTTCCCAGAGCTCGATAAATCCGACAACTGTCGCCTAATCTTCCACGTTTATGGTCGGAATGCCATCATGGGACCTTTGGAGCCGAACTCTGAGCCTGCTCACGAAGTCGGCGTGCTCGGGGAAGTCGTCGCCCCTACAGCAGCGAAGGCCATGGCTATTTGCAACAGTGCCCGAGTCTCCTGCCTTCATCTCTACTACCCTGGCATTCTTGCGACTACCGGAAATTTCGCAAGCCCGCTGAGTCCACATGAGCAAGACGCAGGCGCCGTTTTCAAATTCAGTCTGTATCACTTGATGGAGATCGACGACCCGACTGACCCAACCATCTTTCCGATCAAATCATCTACGGCCGGCGCAGGCACGTTTGTGAAGGACGAAAACTTTGGCAAGCAGTTCTTCAACCTCGACAACTTTCTGAACATCTCCCCGGAAGAGATCAAGACCAAATCCGTTCCGACCGGTCCTGCCACAATGAGAGACGTGGCAAGCGTTGTGCGGTCCAAGAACAGCGGGCCTTTTGAGTTGACGTTTGACATTATGTTTGACGATGAAAAGCACTATCAGCGTGTCAAGAGGGCCAATGTTCTCACTAACGAGACCATCAAGAAGTTATATCAAATACGGGATGAAGACATTGTTATCAACATGTATTTCGATCCGGCGCTGGCATGGAAGTGTACTATCAGACGGCCATGGGCACAAGGAAGTGTAGGGGAGCGCGATACTTTGGGAACTGCACAGCACGCACCATTGTTGTCCGTTGCTGTGCCTGCTGTTGGGGCCTAGTTGCTCCCGAGGTAGTCAGATGTATCAAAAGGAAATTCCAATGAGAAGACCCTAAAATCTCGCCGCAATCTTCCACCCTACTGCCAGGACTCGTACGGAGGCGTAGCAGATGAAAGCCAGGATGTAGGAAGCCCCAGAGAACATGATCAAGCCGTTCTAATTCTGGCCGTCCTTCCCCGACTGCAAGATGGCGCCTCCAATGGGGAGACTGCTCAGCGTCCCGAAACTTGCCATCATCATCGCCGTTGACAGATACCGTCCGTAATCTCGCGCATCACATAGCTGCCCAAGGCATACCGGGACAAGGCCCAAGTTGCTGCCGCTTGCAAAACCGAACAGAGCAACGAAGGCGAGGAGCATGGATTGAGATCCTTTGGACGGCAGCCACAGGCCGAAGACAGTGATGAAGCACATGGCAATGGTGATGAGAATGAAGTTGAAACGGCCGTACTTGTCGGCAGCAAGGCCTGGTAGAAAACGCCCAATCGCGGAGCCAGCGTTCAGAATCGAGAGGATGGTATAGGAGTGGACAGTACTCTTCTGTGTGCTCGCTGCGTATGAGATGATGTAGGTGATGGGCACAAAAAGACCCCATTCCATGAAGAAAATGCCGACCGCTGAGAGGGTGAACTTCACATTGCGGAAAACGCTGAAGTCTGGCCAGATAGAAGTTGGTCCGTCCTTCTTCGGAAGCCGAGACCGGATGAACAATGTGGCAGGGATCGTGAGCCCAAGAAGGATGAATCCCAGGATCCTTGCTGTCGGGGCGAAGCCGAGTGTCGGAAAGAGATTCTGGAGCAAAATCGGATATACGATTCCGCCAATCGAGCCGGCAGTCGCGGCAACACCAGTCGCAAAACCACGGCGGTTGTCAAAGAAGTGGGCAATGGCGCCGTATGACGGGGAGTTGAGCAGAGCGCCGCCCAAACCACCAAGGATCGAGTAAGCAAGTAGAATCTGATAGTACTCTAAAGGTCCAAGGTCAGTCAGCCATCCCATTAATGCCTTCTTCGGTTGGCCATACGAACCTTTACACAGGCTCAGCAAGAGAAGACTTGCTGAGATACACAATCCGCCGGCAACGACGAGCCCACGGGGGCCATAGGCGTCAAATAATGGCCCGACTTGAATGCCGACGAAGAAGACGATGAAAAGGTACAGACTGAAGATCCAACCGATCTCCGAGGGCGAGTGGTCAGCTAACTGATGTTCTGAGAAATATGACTCGAAGACCGCGGCGGAGTTGATGAGACCGAAAACAGAAAGCATAGCGCAGAACGATCCGAACACCACTAGCCACGCACTGAGACCGCCTTCCGGGAAGGTCAGCTCTGTGACACTGGATGCATCCTGGCCTCCATAGTGACTTCTGTCCCTTTCCCTCGATCTTGATCTTTCTTCGTCGTATGACGTTGTCTCTTCGTACCTGATGGCCGATGTCGCCGATGAGCCCGGGTTGTTGATGTTTCTCAGTAGTATGGAGGAGGTCTCCACCGCTGTTTTTGACATCTTGTGTCTGACGCAGTGCAAGTTGGGCTTAATGGGCCAGGCGAGAGCGGGGTTGGTGAAGTGCGTATCGAAAGAAGCGGTAAAGACAGTTGTCCGAGTATCACGGATATTTGCTCAGCTAATGCAGACAGCCTTTTTCGAAATAGTCCGAGATAGGGGTTGCTGAAGATGTCGCTTTGCAGGTGAACATTTACAAGCAGGGTGAACAACAAAAGCTTGTAAGTGTAAGAAAATGGAGTTCATAAAACTCCGATTTTGAAGTTAGCCTAATAGTTCATCGGGTCCACCTGCACGTGCTGTTGGTCAATCCAAGAGACGCGGGAGGAATCCATCGGTCTCCGGCTGTCGCTTTATTTTTGCCATTCCCGGCGAACTCGTTACGGCTAGCTTCTCCGCAAGACAACCCCGGAGCGGAGCTCCCAAAGCATGCTGATTGGTGAGAGCGGCGCTCAAGTTGAGTGTCCAGGCTGCAAAGCCGGCTTTATGATGATGAATTCGAAGTCAGGTTGAACGTTTATTGAGAAGGTGTACAACTTCATTCATCATTTTCAAGAAATCCATCTCACAATTACCGGTATGATTCTGCGGTGGAGTGAATTTGCAGAACGACAGCAGCAAGATGGAAGCCCCACATGGTCAAATTTATCAGCTCATCAGCTTCGAGACCTTTGTCCGTCTAAATCCGTACATAACCGATGTGAGCGCAGAGCCCGGGATATCATCGCCAGCTGAGAACATGTTTGTTGAGCAAAATGTAAGATGCAACTACGATGTTAGCAAATTTCGCGTCATTGCTCTCGCATACGAGTCTGGCTCAACTACTGGGATGTATAATGAGTACAGACTTCGACAACGGCAACGGCGACAATGCAATACTTCAACAATTGGATATCAAGAATATGAAAAAGAAGAACGCAGAAAGAAAAGAACATTAAGCATGTTCAGAGGAGGTACTCGGCAAACCCATTCCAAATAGCCGAGCTTTCGATTGTATTATGCGCTGAAATCACCAACCGACTTCCGAGAAATGCAACTGTTCCATGTCGCATCGCCGGTTCAGGACCGAGGCCGCAATTCTTTTCAACACTTGGAGTGTCATTGCAATGGGTATGTATCCAGTCTTTGTGACCAAATATAGCTTCTCAGGCTCCAGAGGTGTGCGTGTTGAAGATAGAAAGTTACTTAACACACCTATCAGCACAAATAGCATGGCGAGTTGGCAACAGGCATTGTTTCACGAAAGGTTAAATAAAAAATGGAAGCCCATTTGGGTAGCGCAGAGAAGAGAAGGGGAAAAGCTAAATATGCAATGTCAGGTTGAAATGGTGCACATGAAAGCCACAGGCCCCAAGAACAGCAAACATGGGAAAACAAGACATAAAAGCACTGGCATCACGAGCGGAGAGCACCCGATTATTGAAGAAGATTCTCAAATTCTGGGTAAACTAGAAAAGAAGTATGTCCGTGAAGAGTCAAAAGTATACTAAAACCAGAGTAAAAGTTTCCCACCCAAAAACTCCAAGCCGATTTAAATCCCCCTTTCATAAAAAGAACAAAGAAAAAAAGAAGGCATAAAGGTATCTATTTCTTGACCTTGAGGTCGAAGCGGTCCAGGTTCATGACCTTGTCCCATGCCGCGACAAAGTCCTTGACGAACTTCTCCTTGGCGTCAGACATGGCGTACACCTCGGCAATGGCGCGCAGCTCGGCGTGCGATCCGAACACGAGGTCGGCGCGGGTAGCGGTCCAGCGCTGCTCCTTGGTCTTGCGGTCGGTGCCGACCCAGGCCTCGCCATCGTCGGCGCTCTTGGCCCAGACGGTGGAGATGTCGAGCAGGCTGACGAAGAAGTTGTTGTTGAGCTGGCCCTTGGTGGAGGTCAGGACGCCGGTGTTGGAGCCGTCAAAGACGGCGCCGAGGGAGCGCAGCCCGCCGACGAGGACGGTCAGCTCGGGGGCGGAGAGGGTCAGCTGCGCGGCCTTGTCGACGAGGATCTCCTCGGTGCGCGCGCGGGCGGTGCCGCGGCCGTAATTGCGGAAGCCGTCGGCCTGGGGCTCGAGGTAGCCGAAGGCGCGGACGTCGGTCTGCTCCTGGGTGGCGTCGACACGGCCGGCGGAGAAGGGAACGGTGACATCGACCCCGGCGTCCTTGGCGCCCTTCTCGACGGCGACGACTCCGCCGAGGACGATCAGGTCAGCGAGGGAGACCTTCTTGGCGCCGGTGTTGAAGCTGGTCTGGATGGTCTTGAGCGCGTCGAGGACCTCCTTGAGCTGGGTCGGGTTGTTGGAGACCCAGTTGACCTGGGGCTCGAGGGCGATGCGGGCGCCGTTGGCGCCGCCGCGCTTGTCGGAGTGGCGGTACGTGGAGGCGGAGGCCCAGGCGACGGAGGCGTACTTGGAGACGTCGAAGCCCGGGGCGGCGAGGATGTCGGCCTTCAGCTTGGTGATGTCGGCATCGTCGATAAGGTCACCCTCGCGGGCGGGGAGAGGGTCCTGCCAGGGGAAGGTCTCCTTGGGGATCTCAGGGCCGAGGTAGCGGGAGACGGGGCCGAGGTCGCGGTGGAGGAGCTTGAACCAGGCCTTGGCGAAGGCGTCGGCGAGCTCGTTGGGGTGGTCGAGCCAGCGCTTGGTGATGTTGAGGTAGCTCGGGTCGTTGATGAGGGCCAGGTCGGAGGTGAGCATGGTCGCCTTACGGAACTTGGTCGAGTCGAAGGGGTCGGGGTAGTCGAGGGTGCCGTTGGCTGCCTCCCATTGGTGAGCACCGGCGGGAGACTCGACGAGGACCCATTTGTTGTGCAGAAGAGACTCCAAGTAACCGTTGGACCACCTGCAGGTACATGGGTTAGCATTTGTGTGTGTGGTTGGGTGTGTGGTGGTATGCATGTGTGTGTATCACTGCATAATCACCCGACGGGGGCCAAAAATAGATTTTCACGCCGCCTCTTTTGCCTCCCTGCAAGTCTCTCTCAACGTCTCTTCAAGACCTTCTCAAAATGACCGGTCCGGCATATGAGAAAAGGCCTCAAATATTGAGCCAAGAAGAGGGGGAAAGGCAACTCCGACATGGGGGACATGCAGAGGTCATTTCATTTTCATCACTTACTTGGTGGGGGTCTTGGTCCAGACGACCTCGAGACCGCTGGTCATCTGGTTGGGACCGTTGCCATCGCCAACCTTGTTGTGCCAGCCAAGACCCATCTCGCCAATGTCAGCAGCTTCGGGCTCCGGGCCAATGTTGTCTGTGGGATTCCAATCATCAGCAGATGCTCACGGCACGAAGGAGCGGTGAAGCGGTGGAACAGCCTTTCACTAGCTCCGGGACGAGCACGGGAAGAGAGAGCAAACTCACCACTCTTGACGGCACCGTGCGTCTTGCCGAAGGCGTGTCCACCGGCAATGAGAGCGACCGTCTCCTCATCG